CTTAGATACAATGGACAAAATTCCTGTAATATACAATTTACTAAATTGTCTTATCAAAAATAAAACTCTAAATATCCCTATATATGTTGAAGAAAAGGAAGTTATAACCCAAAATCTTTCTACAGTGAAAAATTTGAAACTAGACACTTAGAATTCTATCAAATAGTTGAGGACAAAATTTTAGCATTCTTATACATACTTTCTTAAGAATGCCAGTTTATTCTCAAGCTAATAGTAAATAAAGATAGCACACAAAAATAAAAAGGCCAAATTATTCATGAAAATAAGTGCAAACAATAAAATATAAAATCAATGGTGATGCATTATGAAAAAGTGTGTTTTACTTCAGCGATATAAGATTGGCTTCGCATTTAAAATTGAGTCACCTTTACTTTTCCTTGAGAAAGAAAAATCTATTTCCTTGAGAGGCAAAAGGAAGAGGCACCTTGTCCAGGTGACTGATGACTCCATGAATGCATAAATCAGTTTCACAAACTGAGACTCTCATGCTGATAGGTTTTTCTCTGGCCCTCGGGGATAATCATTTAGTGAAAGGCTTTGACACTCTCCATTAACATTTTCTCTGAGATCCTATGGGGGGCCAGCCCCCCAAAAGAGATTTAGAGGGTCCCTGGAAGGTGGGGCAGCGTCGGTGAATATTCTGGAGAAATAAGGAGAAAGAAAGAGACTGGACTCTGTCTAGTGCAGAAGCCAATTCTGTAGTAGGGATAGATATTGAAAGAAAGATGGAGGGATAGATATAAAGAGAGGGACAACTGTTCAGTGAAATGAGCAGAAGCCGTTTATTGGGAACCAATATGAGTCTTTTATCCCAAATTTTCACATGTTAAATCACAAGACTTTCATGTGAGCACAAAACCAGGTAGGTGAGGGGCGTCCCCCATCCACCAGGTGTTTCCTTAGGAATGAGGAAGGACAATCTTAATCAAATCACAAGAGTTTTACGTGAACACAAAGCCAGGTGGGTGGAGGGCGTCCTCACCCACCAGGCGTTTTCCTTACCATGAGAAAGGACAATCTTAATCAAATCACAAGAGTTTTACATGAAAAAAGCCAGGTTGGGGGGGGCTTCCCCGCCCACCAGGCATTTTCCCCAAGCATGAGGAAGGATAATCCCAAAATTATCTCACTGTTCCTTGTGCTTGGTTTATGTTCCTCAAAAGCAATACAACAGTTTTAATATCATAAAATCCTAATAATCAATAACTTCTAAAACTTATGCATACCCAACACCTAATAACTGACTTAAATCCTAATACCTTTCTATTCTGTGCTAACTTTACCTGTACTATAAAAAACTCTTATTATAGGTCAGACCAGTTCCTAAAGAATGTGGCCCAGTCCAAAGATCACGCTGGGCCATTTCCAGGAACGATTGATTATGATCTCTTAACAAAATGGCTATTCTAAAATCCTATGTATCTATCTTAATTTCTATAGAAGTTTCTAATTCCTAATCCTGATATATAAGGCTGATCATCAGCAATAAAGCTTCTACAGCAAAACCCAAATACAAACTGTAATTGTACTTGTCCCGACCAGCGGGACAAGTAAAACGTGGGCATGAGGAGGACTACCTGCTGCTGGTGAAAAGAGAGAGAGAGACCAAGAGAGAAAGAGACAGGAGACACGCAGAATAGAGGCAAGACAGTGTTCTGATCAAGCCTCCAAATTTTATTGTTAGGCGATTGCTTATATACATAGCAAAGAGGGGCGGGCTGAAATAGGGTGTGTGGCGGCTTATGATAGGAGGAAGAGTAGTGGGTGGTATGAGGAGAGGAGGTGGGAGGGGTGTTGTGGTTTGGCGCGCGCGCTTTTCGGAGGACAAAGAAGAAGGCTTATATAAGATGATTGCTATTTTTAAAATGGCTCCCAACATGTACTAAAGACAAAATCACAATTAGTAGAAAGTGGGAACAATGAAATTTCAAAAGTTAGCTGTATTCTTATGAAACCTAACATAATTCCCTGACGTAGCATGACCTATTCTAAAATACTTTCTATGAATAAAATAAATTCAGTTTCTATTATAAGTAGAAAAAACTTACACTAATTGTAACTAAAGAACCGTATTAAAAGAATGCAGCCCAGCCCAAAATGGACACTGGGCCCTTAGGAATGTGGCCCAGTCCAAAGTTCATGCTGGGCCATTTCTGATAACCCTAGATAACCATCTAAAGCTGAAAACAGCTCTCTAAATGTATATACTAATTCTACAAATATATTTTTAAATCTTATAAAGAAGCTTGTATCACGTATAAGGCTCCCAAATGTGATCTGAGTTTGAACTGTGTTAAGTTTAAAGTCGAAACCACAGTCTGTGAGAAACAGGAACATTGAATCTCTAGAGTCAGCCACGCCTGTCATATTCTCAGAACTTCATGCTTATATCATAAAAGTCCCTGCCAGTGGGTAACGCTAAATAACAAAGAAAGGAGGAGGGAATGGGCCTTCAGCTCCTGAACCAGCCTGGTGGTCTCAAGGTCAGCAGCCTGCCTGGATCCCTAACGCTCAGGCAGGCCTCCAGGGCCAGCTCCCAACAAGATCCTAAACCTTACCAGGAACCTTTTTCCATGGCTCTACAAGGAACTTTAAGACCTCTGACTATGGTTTCTCGGTGTGATTGCTTTTCTTCTTACTCTTCTTTTTCTCTTTAGAGGCTTTCAGCTGTCTGCTAGCCTGATGGCTGGGTACAGACTGACACACATTTTTCTGTAAAGAGCTGTGTAGTAAAATCTTTAGGCTCTGCAGCCAGATGGATTCCTCTGATGCTGGTCAACTCTACAGTTGCAACATGAAGCTGACATTGTGACACTGACAATGCATAAATGAATAAGCATAGCTGTGTCTCAATAACATTTTGCAAAAGCAGATGGTGTGTTAATACTGACCCACAAACGGAAATTTGCCAACATCTTGGTTAGGACATCAATATAGCACACACCTTTCCTGAGTACTTTGAAGGACTATAGTTATTAGTACTTTCGATGATTAAAAAAAGTCATGCAGTTTCATCTAGAAATTCTCCCCCTTGTCAGGAGTTCTCGCATTTTCTTTTAGAGAGTTTTCTGTGGAGTGGCACAAATTACTAATTGCTTGACCACTGCCTCAGAGTCCAAAAAAATGCACATGTTTTAGCATTTCTTTGCTTCATCTATCAAAACTTCATCTGCAGAGTATGGATTATGGAGTATTGTTCTAAATTGTCTCTATTGGTGACAGTAATTTGTGTGTTGTGTGCTGGAGTTCCACAAGGATACTTCACATGAAATGATTATAAGTAAAGAGGCAGAAAAATGTCTTAAAACATGTTTAATCCTGCTAGCTATCTTCTACCTCTGACCTCTGGATTGGGGTTTTCTCTGACCTCCCTAATATCCTTCTCTATCCATTACTTTAATACTAGCTCAATGTATTCACATAAACAGCCACCTAAAGCCAATAAAACTATGAATGCCCAATCCTGCTCATGACTGTCACTCCAGATTCTTTTTGCTTTTCCTTAACTTACTCTTTCTTTGATAAAATTATTCAGTGGTTTAAAATCCAGAATTCAACATTCCTTCCCATGACCCAAGTTTAGATTAAGACAGTCAGCTTTCTTTTGCTCTAGAGATGAACTTGGATAATCTTTACTGTCTTTGGGTTCCCTTTTACCACTCATAGCCACATCTTGCCTATAGGTCTACTGGTGGGACTATAAAGTAATAACAAATAATATATTTATTATTATTAGATGAAAGATAATTAAGATTTGTGTTTTTTTAGGCATTGAAATTTTTATCATGATGTGGTATCTGAAATTACTTTTTGTCTTAAAATCTATCTAAAGCTACACTAACAGAGATGGGTGCTAAATGACATCTCAGGGCTACAGTACTCCATAGGGCATTCACTGTCCTAAACAGAACAAAAAATAAAAATAAATTTAAAAAAACTTCTGAAAAAAGGATTTAACAGCTTCCACCCTACCAGAAGTTCAGTGAACTTACAGGATTTTTAAGGCTCCAATACTGTCAGAATATGAGCTGGCTATCCACTTGTGTTTATCCATGAATAATGCAGAAAGCATAAAAAATCATGAATTTAATCATGAGATAAAGTAGTCTAGTCATAGTCAAGTGGATAGCTAGTGTCATACTCCTTTATACATATTTGAGGAAGAATTTACATATTCATAATGACTTTCTGATCTGGAAAGTCCCAAGTTTGTCTACTATTAATAACTGGGTGAATGTTTCAGGTAGTATTTAAACCAATAGAGATTTCATAGCAGACATTACCCCATCCTGAAGAAGCAGTCAAGTGCTGGTAGAAGTAAATGTTTCTATCAAGATCTCCACCTGCCACTGCCACTCTGCACACAGAAAAGTAGAGATAAATGGCTGTGTGGTTCACCTTGCTTCTCTCACATTTGAGTGTCATACAAGAAAGAATAGGTCTCAAATGATCCAAATGTAAGTCTGCTGTATAAGAAAGTTCTAATGTTAGAACTCTTTCGGCTATTGACATTTGTAAGTAAAAAAAAACCAAAACATTTTATTTATTTATGCTTAATTCACATACATTTATGGGGGACAAGTGTAATGTTTTTACTTGGATATAGTGAATTCAATATTAGTTTTTAGTGCATCCATACTCAAATCACGTTCATTGCACCCCTTAAAATAATTCTTTTTCATCTACCCTCCTGTCATCTCTCACCTTTTCAGAAAGGAAACTGTTCATTTCCTCTGGCTAACAGAATCGAAAGCTAAGAACACTGATGGGAGGAGTCATTGAATTGTTTCATAACTCCTTTCTCCCTGGGGTGATAGCACAGCAGGAGATAAGTCAAGTTGTTAAGTAACTGTAACCAGTGTTTTTTTTCCTTTTCTTTGGAAATACTTCTCTTTTTTTTTCTTTTTTTTTTTTCATTTCAGAATATCACAACACACTGCAACTCCTTTTCTGAGAGCTTTATTGATTTATCTCCATACTCAAACAAAACAAGCATTGATTTCTGCATTTCTGAGAATCCCAAGATCTGGACTAATTTTGAAGACATTTCCAGTGAGGTGAGTACTATTGGTAAGTTTTTTAGCTAAGATCTGGAGACTTCCTTGAAACTCACAAGATCACAAGGGAGAAATAAGTATTGGTTTTTCACCGTGGTGAGTGAGGGAAGTAGGGCTGCTATCAACTGATTTCAGAAAAGTTAAAACTGTAGTTACTTGATTTTAATTCTTCATTTACTTCAAAATAATAGATTATTCTACCACAATTGATGCCTGTGCAAGGGAAAATGCATTTTGATCATTACAGACTTTAAAACAAATTTTCTAAGTATGTATTGGCATAAGTTGATATTTAGAAGACTACTTTGGTTCTCTTGGCTGAAAGGAATGTAGGTCCCTTGGTGGCTGTTGTGGGGCTTGGGTAAAAAGCAAGAGGGTGACATGTAAAACTATTATGAATATTCAGTAAAAAAAGCACATCTGAGCGCAAAGCTGTCATATGGTATTATCTCAATTTTACAAAATATAAGAACAAATATACATACATAGTAGAATATTTGTTTCATAAGCACAATTATTCAAATAAATTGTGTCTTAAATATTTAACTTTTACTTTAGCTCCATTACATACTGGGTGTTAGAAATAGTATTTCAGTTTCTTTGGAATTATTTTCTGCCCTCCTGAAAGTTACTATATTTTTTCCTCATAGTAAGGTGTAGGACAGAGAAAAAGGAGTCAATTAGAAAAATCTGTCCATTTTCTACTTTTATACATTTGTAAAGATGTTCTGTATATCCTGCTACAAAATTTCATGTGTTCTTGAATAAAATTTTTTATATCTTTCCAGGCTTTTTACCTAATGTTTGTTTAGTAATTGAGAGATACACAGAAATTGCCTATCATAAAATTGTGTTTTTCCTTGTACTTCTCTCAAATTCATGTACACATATGCATCAATGTATATTATGTATATATGCAATCATGTATACAAACCTGTACAAACACATATAAATATGTATGTGTGTATGTGCATGTGTGTATGTATATGGAGATAAATGTATTACATAATACTAATTATAGTACCATGGGCTATAAAGTAATAATAAATAACATATTTATTATAAATAGAAAAATTCATAATTAAAACTATTTTTTATTATTATGTGTTATCTGAAATTACTTTCTGTCTTAAGAACTATTCAAAGGTACACTAACATAGGTAGATAAACTGACTTTCTTTTAGTTAGTTTTTGCAAGATAATTGTTTAAAATATTTTTTACCTTTAAGTGATCTTTAGTTAACAATATGTATGTAGATTTTTAAAAATAAAAATTTGAGGATAGTTGTCAGACTTATTAGGCCCTTCATGTCTATACTGGTAATTAACATATTTTATCTTGTTTCTGCTATCTTCAATCTATAATGCTTCCATATTTTCCTCCTTGTCTGTCTTTTTTCATCTTATAACTGTCTCACCCTCTAAAACGAATATGGCAGTGAACTGCCATCTTCTTTTTCCTTCTTCACTCCGCCATCTTAATATACTTTCTGTTTTTGTATTCAACTGGGCTTTTTTTTAATATAGGCACACATAATTAAGTCAATTTTTAGCTCTTTTCTATCATCTGACCTGCAGTATTTTTGATTTTTTTAAAAAGTATTTTTTATTGAATATTACATCCAAAGATGTTTCTGTTGGGTGTGAGGCTTTGTCTTACAAAAATACTGAGTCCTTGAGGGTCGGAGGCTCACTTTTGAGGCACTTGTGTTTAAATGTCATTTTGTCCACATGAAAATTCTGATTTTGCAATTATTTTTTCCTTCAAGAAAAATGAGAGCATCTCTTCTACATCTTCGGGGCAAGACCTGTTTTAAATTTTAGAATTTAAAGGTTTCAAAAAGTGTATTTAGTGCATGTATTCTAAATACTTAATTACTAGAAACTCCAATGGAACCTGATCATTACTCCAAAATCAAAAGCACTAGTATTTCACAACAAAACATGTGAGCGCTCACATTTAAGTGAAATGAATAATCATTCATAGCCTCCTGTTACCTCACATCTGGTTTTATTTTGTAAATTGTGCTGTCACACTCACAAAGGAAGTCCAAACATTCATTTAAAATGTTTTTGGAACCAGCTCGGTGGCTCAGCCTGTAATCCTGCACCTTTGTGAGGCTGAGGTGAGTGGATTGCCCGAGCCCGCGGGTTTGAGACCCGCCTGGGCAGCGAGACCTCATCTCTACAATAAATCAAAAAATCAGCCAGGCATGGTAGCGCATGCCTGTAATTCCGGCTACTCGGAAGGTTGAGGTGGAAGGATCGCCGGAGCCCAGCAGGTCGAGGCTGCGGTGGCCGGGAGCAGCCACTGCACTCCAGTCTGGGCGACAAAGTGAGACTCCAACTCAAAAAAAAAAAAAAAAAAATGTTTTTGGTTTAGTAATTGACATGGAATTTTTAGTCCAGCATTATACAAAAATTACTTCATTGTCCTGCGGCAGGCATTTTTGCTGTTGAGAGTCAATTTCAATCCAATTTTTGAATCATTGTAGGTAATCTATTATTCATTTCTGGAAGCTTAAGTGTTATTCATTTGCTTTTTGGTATTCATTTTCACTATAAAGTGTCTTTGTGTGGGATTTCCCTTAATTCCATGAACCTTTTCGATGTGAGGATGTCACGGTCTCTCAAGAAGGAAACAATTAAAGATCTCAGAAATTTAAACACCTTAACTATGCAAAAAGTACACAAAGACATGTTTCCAAAACTAAAAATATCCAGTCATTTAAACAGAAAATTGGGATTTATACCATGTACTAAGTGTCATCAAGGAAGTGTAGAGGTGCTAAAGAGATCCAGAAGAGTGACACTATCCATAAGGGACTCTAGAAGCTTCCAGAAGACAAAGCTTCAGTTGATTTTTTTTAATTATTATTATAAAGATGTGGGGTACAATTCAGGGTTAGGTATACAAATGTTGATTATGTAGGTACCCTTGTTGATGAGGTATGCCTCTCCCTCCCTAGCAGTTTCCCTCAACTGCCAATCCCACCCCCCTTCCCCTGACAGTTTCAGAGGGAGATTTGTGGGAATGGCTTTCCAGGCAGTGAGAAGGGAATTACAAAGTCATGACACATGAAAATACAAGGTCTGTTGGATATTTTTGAAGCATAAGATACAAGGAATACAAAACTGCTAGCATTAAGAAAGATGTGGATTATTAGAGAGCTTCTGAAACATTTTAAGAAGCAAGAAATTATTTAAAAAGAAAATCAGGAAATACTAAAAGATTTCAATTAAACAGAAACATGGCTTATACTAACAGCCATACTACCCTGAGCACGTCGATCTCACCTGAACTTGGAAGCTAAGCAGGGCCGGGCTGGTTAGTACTTGGCTGGGCAACATGACTTACAGAAAGAAAAGTGACTCTTTGAAAAGAACTAGATATATAAGACCTAAAAGAAGAAAAATCAAGCAATGAATGTAAATAATTTCAGTCACTAACTGCTGTGATCCTGCATTAGTGAGCATGAAGATATTTCGCAAAGTGATAATATCATGGGCAGGCACAGAGGACACAAAGACACGGTCCAACACCAAGGGAGACAGGATACGAATGAGAGATGACTAGAGAGCCCACAGAACTAGGGTCAGTATCTCAGGATGAAACTGTATAGTGCCATGGCAGAAATTTATTTGAATAAGCTAGGAGGCTGTGGATCATTTCCACGTAGGCCTCTTTAGTCATAGAGGGCGTGGCAGGAGTCAGGAACTAACAGGCAAACATTGGGGAATAGACTCCAGCCCCAATAAAGGATGGGGCCTTTGACACTACCTAACCCCTACTCTAAACACTGTGATAATTGCCTGATTACAGACCTCCTTTCACCATATCCACCTGAATCCAACTCAACTATCCTCATTAAACAGGAAGAATTTCCTAGACATTCCTAATGAAACAGTTCTAGACCCCATTTTCACAGTGACACATGTGGTCATTAAGTCCTTTTTCATACACGTCTATGAACAACACTTTCAGATGGGCCACTCTCGGAGTAAGCATAAGAAGTCTTTTAAATTGTCTGTATGTATGTGTGATGTTATATGTCATTTTTCTCTTGTAGGCTTACATTTTTAGAGATGGCAAATAAATGCAAGATAATTGTTCTAACAAAAGGATTAGAGGAGATGAATGATTATTATTTTAAGATGGTTAAGTCTTTACTGGCCAAGGATTTAAAGCTGACTAGAAAAATGCAAGAAGAATATGACAGAATTAAGATTGCTGATTTGATGGAAGAAAAGTTCCACAGTGATGCTGGTTTGGGCAAACTAATAAAAGTTTGCCAAGAAATAGCCAAACTTCAAGTTATTGCTGAAACTCTTAAGAAAGAAAAGTCAAAAGGTAATTTGGAAAAGGGTATACCCTCTCCCTGCTCCTATACCTGAAACCTTCTCCAACCTTGAATAGAACCCATCTTTAGTTATAGTTGATATATCCATGACAATGTTGATATCAGATGCCAACAAGTTAACTATGTAGGGCACTTCATTTCTCATGAGATTGATGTAATTTGGGGGTATATTTGGGATGTAGTGAAGAACAAAAGCGAGAGGGAGTTGATCAGAGACTAAGACTTTCAGACATTAGAAAGATTAGATAGTAACAAAATAGATTATTTGAATTGCTGTTTTTATTTAATATATGTACATTTAGTTAATTAATGTATTGCTCCAATTGGGATCATTTAACACATAATCATTCTTTGTAATAATAAAAAACAGCACACAGTACTTAAATTGTAAAATCCCTATTGCAAAAATCGTTGAGTTAAAACATAAAAAAGATTTGTAAAAGTCAAAGACCAAAATCACCATACCTCACTTCACAAACCTACATCACATTTCCTTTCACTGGTTTCTGTAACTTGAAGAGAGTTCCAGGAGAACATGACCAAATAGTCAGTGCTGTGAAAACCTTATGCTTTTAAAAGGAAATAATAACGTAACAGGACCGGGAAAGCATTGACTGAGGCATACGTTGTTCAGCGGACAGGAAGGATGTGCTCAGTGCACAGGGGAGGAGTGAGGAAAGTACTGAAGAGCTTCAGGCAGTACGTGTGCCTGTTTTGCTACTGTGGACCTCCTGGTGGCCAGACTAAGCTAATGCAGCTGAGGTAGGCAAAACACAGCTGAATCCTCAGGCGGGAGCTGACAGCAAATAGCAGTGAAACTGTGTCAGCTGCCTGAGATCATCTGTTCTGAGTTTATAAATCCTCTTTTTTTCTTCATTACCTGTGAATAAAATTAAATTCATTTCAGCCAAAGGAACAACCCCATCAAAGAAAAGGAAGCTGGGAGAAGTAGGTTCTGCTACACCTGAACCCACCACAAGTCACACTTTCAAATCTGAAGGGGTAGAGAGGACCCCTGGAGCTCAGGTAAGCTTGAGGAAGAAGAGCAGACTTCAAGTCCCAAAGAGGAATCTCTGTTGTGTCTCTTCTATTCCACCTCTCTCTCAGGTGGTCGTCTTCATTAGTTTTCTATCAACTCAGATTTACCAAATTGTCTAATAGTTGTTCAGCTTCTGCAAGGTAATGAGATGAACACCTTGGTAAGTGCAATGCAAATATGTATAACATAAAAATTATATTTTCATCCCTTATAGAGAAGAAGACTCACTTGATTTCAGAATGATTTGCTTATGTTTATAAATATTTAGCTTTTGTATTTCCAAGTCAGCACAGAGGTAATTAGATAAATGATATGTATAACTTTCTCCTCTTTATTTAATGAAATCACCTCTACTCACCACTTATAACCGACCAGGGATGGGCAGCACCTTGTTGACTTTGCAAGACACGCACTGTTAGATATAGTTACTACCAAGTAATGAAAATGTACTCTACTTCATTAGACACTGAAAATGAATAACAGAAACACCAAATTATTTGCAGAAAAGAAAAAACACAACCAAAGAAAAGGCTGGAACTAAAAGGAGTAAGGTGCCCCAGGAGCAGACTCAACTTCCCAGTACTGCAGGAACCAGCATGTCCAGAGCCATGGGCCACGCCCCACCTCCCCAAATCTCATCATCAGCTCCACCCAGCACTCCCTCAGAGCAGGTACGCTCTTCCTGGTCCCCATTTGCTTCATTTTCTTTAGCTTACAAAGAGGAATCTGATTTTACCTCCTACTTAAAAAAATAAGAACAATAATTAACTAGTTATCAGACGTATATACTGATATTTCACTGCATTTTAATATTGTGCTTCCACAAGATACTTGATAAACTTGACGTTATCTGCGATTGCAGGAAGTTCTCTGTGCTGTGTTGTTCAGGGGAGAGTCCAGAAGAGTGCAGATGGATACAGCTGTGGGCCCACTGTCTACTTTCCTCTCTCTTTCACCCTTCTTTTCCCTGATCACTAATCTGTTGAAGTTTCTTGTATACACACCATGCTTCCTTTCTTTTTCAGGATTTTCACACACAGTATTTCTCTTACCTAGGCCAACCCTATCCACCCTTTGTATTTCAATATTGATATCCTGTTCTCAGGGAATATTCACTTAGATCCCTTATAACTTAAGTGAAATTTTCATGGTTCACACTTTGGTAAGAACTTCTTTCTTTCTTTTCTATTATTTATGACAACTGTGGTTAATAAGTGTTTATCTTTTCCACCTTACTCTGAATTCCAGGATTAGGACTACTTTGACAGTCTGTGGAGCACTGTCTCTCTAAGCCCACTTCAGTGTCTGCCTCATAGGAAGTTCCTAATAAATACATTTACTGAGTGAAAACCTGAAAACCAAGTCCTAAGTTATGAATCAACACAAGTAAGGAAAGAACAATAAAGGTCATCATACCATTTAAAAAGGTGATATCTACTTTGAGGCCAAAGGTTATAAAAACAAACAGAAAAAGTGATGAAATAGGAGAGTTGAGGAGTTTGGAAAACCTAGGCAGAAAGAAGACCATACACTAAGACCTAGAAATGAAAGGAAGTAGAATGAAAGGAAATTGCATGTTTTTGATAATATGTGTGATGTTGTACTCTTCTCAAATTTGGACAGGAGAGACTTTGCTGTATGCATGCATCAGGGATGGTCTAGTAACTAATGAAACTCTAATGAGCTTTATTCCAGAAATAAGTGTTCTATATTCCCATGGCACACAATAAAAGGAGATTACGACAGGGCAAAAGTGATGAAACCTCAACACCAGCCACAGTTGGAAAATGTTCTGTATCTTTTTGTCAATACTATATATTTTTTCTTAATACAAGATTAAGAAAAAAAACTAAATGCAGATAACAGCTAATCAAATGAAATATAATTAAATTTACCTAAATTTCAATATCTATTTCATGCCATATTTTTCCTTGTACACTTTTAGATTTCCTCCTATGTAAGTTTATACATATTTTTTCTGAAAACGGCATCATTGTCCTGTTATGAGTAGTCATCTAATCTTTCATGTAGGTTCTGTATGCGTGTGGCTCCTTGTCAGGTACTTATCCTTGTTACTATTAATATTCCCATGGATGAGTCCACTGTTACTGATTAACATGCATTGGGTAAAGATGTTTCTGGAGCATCTTTAGCCTGAACCTACAGAGATGATGGCACTCTGAGGGGTTCAGCCCAAAAGTGTCCTCTCTACTGTGAAGGAATTGACTCTTAGATAGAAACACTACGAGTTGTATTTCCCAAATTTCCCTGTCTACATTGCTGATAACTGAACACCCTTGATGTCTGTGGTTTGCAGTAGACATCATTTCCATTTTCAATGCATTCAATTTTATTTGGCCTATTTTTATATGGTGACATTTTAAAATGAAAAGAGTAAGACTATAATTCATTACTTTATCCTAAAGTTTCTTTAAATCTGCTTCATGACAGTACTCTCAGTAGTCACTGATTTTATGTTGCTATTAAGCTTTGCTTCTTAAGTATTATTCAGTTTAGAAAATAATTTCCTTATTTTCACACATATGGTCTCCTCTGTTACTTTCCCTAGCTAGTACACCTGCTTAGTATATCATCTCCTGCCCTCACTAACAATCTCTCTTTATCTTGGTCCTAGACCTGAGCATCTGTAAGGCTCCTGGGGCCCAATGTGATGACTTAGATCACTGAGTAGTGGTTCTGTACTCAACAATAAACATTTTCCTTTGCTCTCCTCTATAATACACAGACCCAGAAATCACTGGCCAAACATCAGGTAAATGCCAGAAGACATATTCTCCAACAGGACCCAATGATAGTGATGGTACTGAATGCAACAAAACTATTTGAATATGAAGCCTCAGAAAATGAGAGAAAACAAATGTTTCATGCTACAGTGGCTACCAAGACACAGTTATTCCATGTGAAGGTTTTAAACATCAAATTGAAGAGACAATTTACCCAAAAAAGAATCCTTATCATATCAAATTATTTTGAACATGGAAATCTCCTAGAGGTGAATGAAGACACTTATGTGTCTGAAGCTGGTTCTGATCAAAAGATTGAGGTTCCAAACAACATCATCAAAAGAGAAAAGGAAACTTCAAAGATTGATGTTCTTCACAAGCAAGCTTCAGGAACTATTGTATATGGATTATTTACACTACTTGAGGTAAGCTCTAAAAATTGCTTTGTTTCTTTTCTCTGTCAACACCTGAAATTAAAAGCCTTCAAGTACTAAATGAAACTTTGCCTGCTAACCCAGATTCTCTCAAACACTAAGGATAGATGGATAAAGTCTTCTTTCAAGATGAGACTGGAAATAGGGCATTTGTTGATGTTCTCTCTTCCATGTTTTCCTTGTCAAAATATCACTCTGAACTTCTTAGAAAAACATTCAAAGAGAAACCTTAAGACTTCTTTAGTTAGGAGAATATATCCTAAGCCACAATGGTTAAGGAAAGTCTGCGGTCAAGATCAATACACAAATACTGCTGAAAATACATATTTGATTATTACCTTAATTGTAGCAATAATCACTTCATTTTCATTTTGAATTAATGATTGACCTTCGAGGCTTGAGTTTTGGCTGTGACAGTCAGAACAATAAATAAATTGACTATTCATGCCTGGAAAACAAATGCATCCAGCAGTTAGTACAGTGTTCTTACCAAATGAAACTTATACATCAAAAAACTGGGAACTATGAATTAGAATGACACTTGGAACACCAAGCAGTCTAAACTTGTAACTTAGATATGTAACAAAACAAAAAGCACAGACAGAGTTTCCTGGTATGTTTCTATCCAAATTAATAAAACGAGTTAGTATAAGACATTCAAACCCCCAAAAGCATCTACTAACTATCAATTCAAGTATGTCTTACATGACCAACATCTCACAACACATATATTTGTTTTATAAAACACCCCACATTTACTGGTATTATTTTCTGTAAACACTCTAAAAGAGATGTTTCTTATAAACACAATTTTAGAATTTATTAGGAATAAACTTGGGAGCAAGAAACTAAAAAGTTTTAGCTTAACTATCTGATTATGGGAAAGGACACAGATATTGGAAAAAAGACTGAGAAACAAGAGAAGACAGGATACTTGGAACATCAGGTAATCAAAATTCATAATTTATATATGCAAATAAAAGAGCACAGAGTGGGTTTTTTTTCTGCTATGTCCATATCCAGATTTATAAAACTAATTACCATGAGACATTTAAAACAAAAAACCATGAATACCTGCTATTGATTCAAGTAATTTCTTAGTGACTATATTACAACCCACTATATTTGTTTCATAGAACAATCCCTTATATCACCTGCATTACTTTCTATACATACACATTCTTAAAGAGATCATTTTTATAAACACAATTCTAGAATTGGTTAGAAATATTTTTGGTAAACAAAAAACTGGAAAGTTCGAACTTAAGCACCTACGTTTATGGGGGGCACAGATCTTGGAAAATCTGTGTATTTGTAAATGAAGAAGGTGAGAAATGGAGTAGGAAATGGAGAAGGTAAGAAAAATAAGAGAGTTACTGGAAACTTTCTATTACACATTCCTCATAAAATACTCAAAGAATAGTGCTAGCAGATGTCTATTCTTTTGCATAGAGGCAGAGCCAAAAATCCTACCAAGGATTTCAAATTCCTGTAGGTCAAGGTGCTTTGGGAGGCATAGCTGCCCTGCAGGTGGAAGCAGTAGAAAGTGGGAAGAAAATTCATTCTTCTAGAACTGTCAGAGAAATACCCAGGACATGAATGATGTGAACAAAAAAGATCGTGAGAGAGGGCCCTCTGAAAAGACCTGGCCTAAGGTATATGCATGATGTCGTGCAGTACTATGAGCTGATGTCCTGCACCATTTTAATCTGTCACAGGAGATCTTTTAATATGTGTGGTTGTTACTATGTTCTCAGGAACAAGATATTAATTTTCTGTTGCAGAAAACAGTGAATAAGAAGGACACCATCTATGGAATTCAGGATGCAACAGGAAATATGGATGTAGTGGGAAGAGGAACATGCCACAATATCCCTTGTGAAGTAGGAGATCAGCTTCAACTCTTCTGCTTTCGACTGCAAAAAAAGAACCAGATGTCAAAACTGATATCTGAAATGCATAGTTTCATCGAGGTGAGAATTAGATAGACAAATATTCATTTTCCAAAGAGGAACATTATTTCCTTTAGGTTTGGGAAAAATTAGATTTCTTGGGTTTTTTATTCATAGAGGTCAGCAGAAGGCATTAGAAAACAAATGATGCCATGGTAATCACAGTTTAGAGAACTGTGTTAAAATATACTTTTAAAATGACATTCATCATATGACTCAAAGGTTTATTAGACTTGTGCTACATTATAGAATATGTGAAGAAATTAGGAGGGTGGAAAACTAATTTCACACAGTGATCAAAAGCAAGGACTTCAGAATAGGATAGACTTGGTCTATGTTTGGCTCACTGGTCACCTAATATTGGGGGAATAGCTTGAATGCTCCTCAAGAGATTTGTTGGAAAATTAAAAGAGATAATGAGCATATATTTCTTATTCCATTGTCTTGTACATTATGAGAAATCAATATGCAGTAGGTATATTGTTTTTAGTAAGGCAAAAGCAGACATTGGAAAGATCTCTATGCTGAGAAAATGTCACATACAAATCCTCAAAAGTGTGAAACAGCACAGTGAGTTCTGTACAACTTTGGTATACATGTAAAAGTACTGGAAATTGATGCAAGAGAGGTAAAAAGCAGATTTATACTGAGCTGTCTTTTGTCATGAAGGCAAAAACGAAAACTTCATTGTAAAAACAATCAGTAAGTAGCGAAAGATGTTATGCAGAAGAATCCCTGATCATTTTACATGTCAGCAAAAAATTATTCTGACCATTGTCTGCAGGAATACATTAAAGAGAGGCAATGTTTCAAGGTAATGAGATCTATTATAACCCAGTAACAAATAATTACATTCTCAGAAATGGAAAGGTGTTGTGTTTCCCCCACTTGAAAACCACTAAACAGAAAAATTAAATTTTCAGGTAAAGAAAAAAGCAAACCAGAGAAACTATAACCTCATGGGCAGAGGGCTATACCAGGAGCAGGGTCATCTTCCAGCACATTCAGAAGCCAGCACAGCTCTAACTGGGAACTATCCCCAGACGGCTCAGAAGCTACCATTAACCCTATCCAAGGGTTTCTTCCCCCAGGTACAGTTTCCTGAGTCTCATTCCTGGGTTCTTCCAACCATAGATTACAGACATGACCAGAATGTTAAAAAGTTTCTTTTTTGAGCCCTAGCTGCCTAAATATCTTTAAAAAATCACATCTCTCATTAATTCACCAGATCATAGTTCTTTACTATCTTAAATGTATGCATTTAGATTTACTATCTAAAATGTATGATGGCTATCCTTAAGAGAGTTAATGTCTTGTGTTGGTGCAGCTGTAGAAAAGGGAGGGCTGATGGTGCAAAAAGGGGAGGGCTTTTATTACAGCTGTAGACAGGGAAGTGGCCACACAAGTAGAAATGAGGACAACTGTGTGTTCAGACTCTACATTTCACTTTCTTTCACTTCTTCCCTTTGCTTGTTAGTAATATTTCTATTTTTGTCTTCAAATTTCCGATTTCCTTCCCATATCGCTAACTTGACATGTGCTATTCCTTTGTTAGGAATCAGTTTGACCCATCTTATCACCAGCAAAATCTCCTCAAACTTCAGATGCCAGTGTAATTTCTTCCTCTGGCAAATCCTTGTTGACAAGATACCAGAACTGAGGAGTCTTGGCCTTTCACAAGTCCTGCTGTCATTAAGATTAAACAATCAATTTCATAGACATGAAGAGAGGGGCTTATTTTGCAGGGTGTCTCCCATACCATCATGATTTGAGTCTTCCCTGAACAGGGTCAGCATAGCACATAATATATATTTATGTACCACAGCAAACCTGTAATCCCAGCATAGAACATGAAACAACAAAAACAATAATTACAATCCAACTTTTTCAATGCTTACCTAGGTGTTAGTTCTAAAATGTTGTTCCTTATTTACATCATTTCATTTATTCTCCATAACAGTCAGGAGAATGCTGTTCTCTGTCCCATTTCATATAAATGAAAATTAAGGTGTTTAGAGGTGTAAAAATCTTCCCTAACTTTTCAAAGAAGGTGTTAGAATTTGGATGTATACTCAGCCTTATTGAAATCTAAAACCTGAACAATTAATGACTATATGTAGTTTTAGACTAGGAGTTTAGATATGCCAATATCAGTTATTAATAGAATTGATGGTGCCATGTAATAGATTTGTAAGCATAGCCCAGGCTCTGCAAAACTTCGATCAGAATTGTGGTGGCCAGGGGTGATCAGAGCATGTTTTAAAAAGGAAGCCACTCTCTAGACATAAAATCCTCTCATCCTCTCTAACGAAGAGTGAGTTTTATATATTAGATAATTAAATGCTAAAAGTAGAAAAAAAAAAAACTATGAAAATTAACCTAATATTAATAAATGGTAAATATGGTTAAAAAAAAAAAAAAGCCAACAGTGAAAATAAAAATAAATTATATCACTTAAGGACTACATTCTTGCCCTTGGTAAAAAATATTTTAAAAAAAACACTTACTGGGAATGTCCAGGTGGATCTTGAATATTCCTAAATACGACTGAGACTTCTAAAGGATTCTGGATGACTGATTCATACAACAACAGAATTCTGCATCTGGGATTGTGGATTTAAAAGAATGCTTCTAGCATGGTGATAATCAAAACATCTAGAGCAACACAGGGTTGCGTTTCCTGGAGCCTGAAGAACAGATGACATAAACTTATTTGTGTATTTTCTTGATGAGAAATGCTTACTTAATAAACACCATCGGTGCAGCCAACTTTTTGTGAGAGCCACTTCCTTATAATGTAACAGAAATATCCACCAAAATATGACCCAGAGAATTGTCCTCAACTAAGTTAGCTTAAACCAGTTTTTAGTACAGGTAGAGCCAAACAAGTGACATTGCAATCCTGCGAGCTTTGACAATTTCAGAGTGAAGGCTGTAATACTGGTTTCTGTGGTTGCAGAAGAGGGGATTAGGGATTCTAAATATATTCTGTTATTCCAGAGAAAATTGACAAAGAAAAGATTTTGTAAAAAAAGAATACAATTAAATATATATATAATACAACTTATATATAATGTGTATACTTTAAATATAAATTGTATGTATTAAATTGTATACAATTAAATATGTATACAATGAAAAATATATACACACTACTTGTATATACATATTTAATGATTTTTTTTTTTTTTTGAGTTGGAGTCTCACTCTGTTGCCCACACTGGAGTGCAGTGGTTGCTCCCAGCCACCGCAGCCTCAACATGCTGGGCTCCGGCGATCCTTCCACCTCAGCCTTTCTAGTAGCCGGAATTACAGACATGCGCTACCACACCCGGCTGATTTTTGATTTATTGTAGAGATGAGGTCTCGCCTGCCCAGGCGGGTCTCGAACCCATGGGCTCAGGCAGTCCACTCACCTCAGCCTCCCAAAGGTGCGGGATTACAGGCTGAACCACTGAGCCCGGCTTAATGTATCTTTTTTTAACAAGATTCTTTCTTTGCCAATTTTCTCTGAAAAAATATACTATAAATATATATGTATAGTATTTATATTTAATTGTATCCTTTTAATTTATTGCATTTATATATATATTATATATAATAGTATCCCTTTTAACATATCATTCTTCATCTCATACTGAAAACCATTATTAACCAGAAGAAAATATTCTATTTTCCTTCAGACAACTAAAGATACAATCACCAACCCTTGTGGCTACAAAAAGATAAAGCTGTCCCCAGAGCAGAGTCTACAACCTGCAGGAATCAACCCATTTCCATCTGTGTTCCAATTCTCGCCTCTTCAGTCGAACCCACAAAGCTCACCAAGCAATTTCTTTATCGAGGTACTGTCTTTCATCTTCTTATGCTTCACAACAACCTAATGATATGAGCAATTAGATCTTGAAAGCCCATCTCATTGAATCACCACTAAAAGCCATCTATATGATTACATTTCTCATCATTAATCAGTATGTTTATTGAAATCCTACTAGATTCTTTGTATTTTGCTATTTTCAAGGCAGCTGTTTATGTAATCTACTTGACTCAAGACCAACTTTGTTGGTCCAAGTGTGGAAAGAAATTTGGGGAAGTATCCAGATGAAGGAAGATGAATAGAGGAATGTGATCATCATCTATGTTCCAGTTTCCTTTCACCCTTTCACTTTATTCATGACCATACTTCGGTTTTAGCTTTAAAAATCCATGCTCATTCCCAAATCAGGAATTTTGACGTGGATTGTTTCTTTGCTGGGAAAACTTTCTCCAGTCCCTTCTCTGTCCCAGCTCCCCCCAAGTGCTAGCCCAAATTCCTTCCTAGGGATTTCAGACTAGATCAGATCCTTCCACTGTTGGTTTGTTCAGTTTCTTTTTTTTAATGTACTTTCCCAGATCCCCTTCCTTTTCCATATAACATTCAAAAAAATGGGATGGATGAGTAATTTTCTTCTTTTCTGCACATAATTTCAGGGTAGGCACTCTATCCCAGGAAAATGGAAAACAAGGGCGAAAGTCTGTTCATGCTGTGTGCATCAACCCTTATCCCAGTTTTTTTTTTTTCTGCTATGTGACTTCTGAAGTCACCAGTACTCAGGGATCAGAAGCCTTTAACTGTAGTGAAAGGACAGGGAAATTGAAGGAAAAGCAAGATAACTAAATCATTATTTTCTATAATTGTTTTTCACCCAAGTCTGGACACCTCCACCACCATACATATACATACCTTGGAAGACAGGTTTCCTGTATATAAAGGTTCACAATTTTGTCTTTTGCTTTTACTGTTATAGTTTTTAGTTAGTGTTGATAAACCACATTTCCCCCATAGTTTATCAGGTGTTATCTCATGGCTGGAACTATCAATCGCTGTCTTTTTGCCATCTTGGGACAGGTGAATATGGTGGAGCTCTTGATTAGATTGCAGCCTCAGATCTTTATTCACTTTGCCATATCAAAGACTTAATTGTACACCTCCAGACAACTATGCTTCTCTCAGTCAAATTTCTTTTTTATTATTTTCATTTTTAAAAATTTTACTCATATTTCTTGAAAGGGGTTACATGAAAATTTCTAAATCTCACCTGCCATAATGTAGATTGTAACCCTTGCTACAGCTGGGCAAATGATTGTGCTGTACACAAACTTCTCTGAAGCACAGGAATCCCGGGAGGATCTTATGCCTTCAAAGCCTCATAGAGTTAAACATACCATGCAGCCATTATCACATTCCTTCTTGATAACACAGTCATGAGGATGCTATTCCCAGCCTCACTTTATATAAGAGAAGACTGATACACATAGAGTTTAAAATATTCCCCAGGTTGGGTGTGCTGAATGTAAATCATGTGTACCGTATCTATGTTTTCTCGTTTGTGATGCTATTGTTAGTAACACTTTATATTTCTAAGCACTGAGTGGTTTAGAGACTAAAATACTATTTGAATAACAATAGTTTTTAGTCTTAGAGCCAAGATTCAAATCCAGCCTATTGAACTCTAAAACTTTATTCATGTATTGCTCTAGAGTCAGAATGTAAATGTTAACATTTCTATAATAGTGTACATATACTTTAAAATTAGACACTGTTATAGTTTGGGTTTTTTGTTTTGTTTTGTTTTGTTTTTGAGTTGGAGTCTCACTTTGTCACCCAGACTGGAGTGCAGTGGCATGCTCCCAGCCACCGCAGTCTCAACCTGCTGGGTTCCAGCGATCCTTTCACCTCAGCCTTCCAAGTAGCTGGAACTACAGGCGCGCGCTACCACACCTGGCTAGTTTTTTATTTATTGTAGAGATAAGGTCTCGCCAAGTTGCCCAGGCGGGTCTGGAACCCACAGGCTCAGGCAATCCACTCACCTCAGTCTCCCAAAGGGCAGGAATACAGGCTGAGCCACTGAGCCCGGCTTGGGTTTGTTTTTATAATCCAAGTTCTGAAAGGTTTCTCGTGAGAAGTTATGTGACTGAAAGTCACTATCTCATCTTGTCTTTTACCTGCCATGTTAAAATCCATGTGTTGATCTGTACCCAATAATCTGATGACAATATCTTCAGTGAATCAGATACCTATACTTTCAGCAGACATCTAGAAGATAAAGCAAAAGGAAAATTGGATCACTGTTCTCTAATCTAATGTCTCATCCAAGTAGCAACCGTACTGTGACCATGCTGCTTCATGCACCAT